AGAGGAAGGTTTATTTGAATGATAAAAGTTTTTGTCTCCTCGAGAAGTACAAAAAATCTTAAAAGTTTGAAAACATCGTCTTAAAGAATACCATTTAAAAATTCTAAAAGTCAAATTATGAATAACTGCAACGCATATAATACGTAAGTATAAAAAGGGGATGAGCGTGCTTGGCGAATCACCCTGTACAGTGTACAGTTTAGCGAATATCATTAATATTATTTAACGGTTTTTTTTCCTCGTCATCTCTAGTCGACCGCGGTCTCGCGAGATGGCCGAGGAGCGTTGTTTGCTGGCGTTTTATTCCAAAACTCGCACGCGCACGCGCACGCTCACGCATCACACTCCCGGTAGTATATTATATTATATTATATACGTCACGTCATACATATGTCATGTATATATCGTATAATATCGGCGGCATATTTATACACGCGTGTATGATGTGCCCGTGTGTGAGTGTTTTTTAAGGCGAGGCGGATAAAAAGTCGGCATATATGCGGTTTGCCAAGCCGCCTCGGGGTGCGTGCGCGTGCGAGTGCGAGTACGAGTGTGTCTTCTAGCCGTGGCCTCGATCACACCCCGCTCCGGCGGCTTGCATGGGTCTCTGCGCTTTCTTTTCTTCTACGATATAAGATATAATTATAATAATATATAATAATATCGCGCATGGACACGCGAACACTTTTTTTCTTTACATATACGTTATGGAGGTAGGTACACATACGAGTGCTGCAGGTACTGCAAAATATACGACATAAAGGTATAATACTCGTGCAATGTATTGTGCGTACGAGCGAGCACGCGTTTAATATATATTATGATACGCATATACATACAAGCTTCCTCGTCGTAACCTCGCGCGATTCGCAATATGGGAATTTGGGCATTTGGCGCTATGATTTCGAGGAGACAAAAACTGTTGTTGGATCATCACGAAATGGCGTGATTTGACATTTCAAAGTACAAAAACCGGTACCTCGAAACCCTTGGGAAATAGTAGGTTGAAATGTAAGAACAATGCGCACATTAAACGATTACGATATACGCATATTACAGACCAGCCTATATAGCTAGATTTATCTCTTTGTTTTTCTAAGATCATAAAGTATACAGAAACTATGGATTGAAATTGTGCATAATTAAATGTCAATATTTTGACAGCTCTACAACGTTTATAATATAACAACTATAGACGCCATTAATAATATATATATATTTATAAACGGATTAATAATGGTTTTAACGTTTGACCCGCAATTTTACACGCCGCCTTATTATTAAACGCATAATTTCGAGTTTATCGATTGCAAACAAATTGTTTAATTTTCTATGCGTAAAAAAACCACAACAGAATATTGAGTTATTTATCTTATTACTTAATAACCGTAAAAAGATGATGATACAGAAATGGTTTATATACATTATCTAAAATTGACCAGTGATGAAATTCGTACAAGAATAATTAGCTCGTAACTATAAGAAATGTGTATACATATTATATTATTATGTATATATATATACACGTTATAAACGTTTTTTTTTAAATTAGACATTAAAATATATCAAAGAAGTAGGATAATGTATATTAATAAAATTATATATATATATATATATATATTACATACGATATATTGTATTATTATTATGTTTTTAGCTATTTGTTGAATTTGAGCGTGGGTGGTATGTAAATATATTATATATGTATAATTGTGTACAGCAAAAAGAAAAACACAAAATAACAGCGATTTAATTCTTAATGTTTAATACACGAGGAGATATTATACGAATGACGATTACGTCTATACAGTATAACGTTTACACAATTCGAGTACAAACACGATTTTCAACGCCCACGCCGAGACTATCAATATATGATGACGAACGATATATGCCATAAGTAAGATTTTGTACATTTAAATTTGATTAGTAAATAGTAGGTACACTCATTCTGTGGTCTTGTCCGTACAGTACGACGGTGACTATATAGACGACCGCCGTTTAGGAGTACAATAATTTACTATTATAAACTTAAAAAATGCAAACGAATAATATAAACATTTGTCTTTATAACTCACTATTTGCAAATGACGTGGGTAGGAACAATCTTGGGGATAATAATAATTATTAATTGGGCATTGGTTACTTCAGTACACCTATTTGTGAACGTGCTTTTGTTTCGTAAAGTATTTAAACACATATCAGCCAGGAGGCGTTTTAATTGTGCGAAAAAACGTGTCGAGTTAAATTAAAAATTATCAACCTGAGCTAGTCACGTTGATAAAAATATGATAGAATTCAAGACATATACACTATGAAATATGATTGAGAATTTTGTGTGGGTAATTTTGATTAACAACGAATTTTAAATTAATAGCTTTTGACTTTCAGCGTATGTTACAGTAAGTATAGGTAAGTACTCGCAGGCCACGGATTTTAGACACATTCGCATATGCGAAAAGTAACGGGAAAACTGACCATGACTATAAAATATTACGATGCTATTGTGATGAAGCTGTTCTTATATTCTTAACCGCAGAACAAAATAATAATATTTACTGTACATTTTTATACATCAATTGCGGAAATTTTAAATTCATTTTGAGTTTTAGAATCTATCGAGTATATAACAATAGCCACATTTTAATAAACGTGTTTAGATAACATAAAGTAATATACCTATATTAAAATATTCATAACATAAACCATTAGTGATACTGATCGATAGATAGAGCAAGTTTTTTTTTTTTTTTTTTTTGAAACAAAAGTTTAAAGTTTACAAGAACGAGTAATTGTTGCCGGGTAATTAAGCAGCACACATTTATCTGTATGTAAAGTACCAAATACGCATACTATTGATATCAGTATATTATAAATCATAATCGCATGGTTATCTGCGGTGATCGACAATTGTTCAAGTTCAAAAATAATTACTAATCAAATCAATTATTACCTATTGGCTATTGGTATAAAATATTATTTATTCGTTTACCTTGGCACCACACAGTACTGTATAAGTGTATAATTTAATAAACATAGTTTACAACGTAGTAGTTCTTGTTTGATTATTTTTCTATGCATTATTTTATGTATAATTGTACGTATAACAACTACAAGAATAAGTATATGTTTAATATTTTACGCAATACCAAACTAAAATTGGGTCTTGAATTTTTGAAATAAAATTAAAATAATCAGATCAAACCGGTAGTAAAGAAACATAGTTTGAACTTGGTACGGTGATAGCGACAGATTTAATAGATTTAAGAAAACCAATGTCAATAACCGCGCCGTACATGAGCATACGAATATCTATATTTATCGATATTGGTAATTCATAGAATCATTGAACGAGTCGAAATACTTTTTAAATTAATTTAAGTCGTATATATAATTACGATTAAACTTTAAATACACAGATAAACATTATCAAGTTTTCTGTTTTATATTATTAACAATAATAATTATTATTTATTTTACAGCTGATAGTTCAACGATAACACACTACAAAGTATTAGACTGTTGACACATACAGTCGTATGTTGTGTTTCGCTAAGATATGAAAAATACTACGAAGTAGTGAAAAATTTGTGTACGATCAACGATTTTTTTTTATATGTTATACACATTTACGACTATGTTATTGAAATAGGAGTTGAAATATTTTTTAAAGGATACGAGTTCCGACGTGCTACACTGCAGGTATACCATCCATTTTAATACACCTACATACCAATGTGGCTACTACGTTATAATTATATTACTGTTGGTCTAAATTATTAAAACAACACATAACTCGACACGTATGGCGGTCCGTCCAAAATTTCGTTTCAAGTTAAAACCTGTATTGAAATCTACACCATCATCCCCAATGATTTGGTTGGTTTGAAATGTAAATATATAACTAAGTGATGCGCGATTTGCACGCCGCTTTATCGGGGTTTTATCCGAACCGGGTCTGCGTACCAGCAGTATACGTTGGCGACAACGTATACATAATATTGGTAACTCCCTACTGCCGTAGTAACACGCATATTATACTTATACAAACGCAATACTACATTAACGGATTCTGAAGTACGAATCGTTAGCAGCGTATCCTTCCTACTACGATTTGACTGGACAGCAATATCGCAAAAACGAGTCTCTCATTCGCACGTTCATATATACCTCTACTTATTATAGTGTATTGCGCACGAGTGATTGTCGGCTGATACTACAGCGATACGCAACGTCGGACCAGTTTACGTCATGCACATAAATAACATGATTATGGAGGCAATTCGAGTGAGGAGGAGTTCGGGCGTACTTAGCACCCCGAGTCCTGCAGAGATCGGCACACTCGTGATTGATTGGTTTTTAACAGCGCAAACAAAGCCAACATCATAAATACACAAGGTGCGTGACAGTCGAATCGTGGCTAGTAGGTGGGTGGGTGGGGGGTGCAGACGGTTTACTTTTCGCGTGCAGTATCGTCTCGAGAATAACAGCTGAAGAAAAAAAACGGTCTTAAACGCGTCTCCGGTCTTGACATTGCAGTGAAATCTCACCCTCGCACGACGGCACCGATGACGACGATACTATAAACACCTACATAAATAATACACACACACACACACATACACACATAATATATCGTGCGCGGTATTAACGCGCAAAAGAAAAGGGTTCGGCCGTGGGTCGCGGCGACGACGCTATAGTCTGGCGCGCCCGCGTTTAAATATAGACCGGCGGCGTCGCGCGTCTGGACACCGCGGTCGCCAAAATAACCGCGTCTCGGCGGCGCGGGGAAACGCTTTATACCGCGGGGGACGTCGGAGGTACAGCGCACGGGCGGCGCAAATGGGGAGGGGGAGTGGCGCAGGGCGCGCGCGATGGTGCGAGAGAAGTCGCGACGAGTGCGGCGTCCGTCATCGGTGCTGCGCGGTCAGGCGGGGAGGCGCGCGGTATAGGATGGCGCGAGAGAAAGACCGGAAACGGTGGGCCGCCGTCGTACTCACTTCAAATAGTAAATCTGTCCTTCGGGAGTCCGAGCCTGTTCCCATCCCTGCGGCAGCGGTCCCAGCTCGTCGATGGCGCTGGACACGTCGTAGCTGCGCTGCTTGGAGTGCTGCTGCTGCTGCTGCTGCTGCTTGGCCGCGCTCACGGCGTACGTCTGCTGCAACGAGGCGGGCGAGCTGTGCGCGCGCGAGTGCAACGGGACCGGGCCGCCGCCGGTACACGACTGTGCCGATGCGGTCGCGATGCCGAACGTCGAGTCTCCCGAGTTTTCGCGACTGTGCGATATGGACGGCGACTTGGAGCCGGTGGACGGCGGGTTGAAGAACGACTTGGGCAGTTGGCGCATGCGATACGGCAACTGGAGCGGCTTCTTGCCGTCCGGCTTCAGCACCGTGTCGAACAGCGCCTGCAGGTCCGTCTCCGAGTTCTGGTCCACCCGGACCACCAGGTTGCTGTTGGCGGCGGGCGGCGGGCTGTTCGGTCCGGTCGGTTCCATTTTGATGCTGACCTGTTGATGCTGTTCCTGTTGCTGCTGCTGCTGCTGTAAACCGGACATGTTGACGTCTTCAATGTCTTTGGTCGTGTTTGGTCGATCAGCTGAAGCCGCCGCTGGTGCACATCAAGGTGTAATGGTGTTTTCGACGCACAGGTATGATATACCGGCGACGGAGGAATATTATGCGATGTGTCACACTATTATAATATTACAACTGACGGCAGCGACAATAACGATACAATATCACAATACAATGATATAATACTAATAATGATGATAATAATAATAATAATAATAATAATAACAACAACAACAACAAAAACAACAAACAAAACAAAAACGCCTTCTCTTCTTCCTCTGCAGGGCGCTCTGCACGTCCGTTTTCCACCAGCAACAGTCACCGTACGATAAAATCAAGTACTATTACCATTAATCGTTATTATCGTATTTTCCCGTCGACTGGTCGGTCGCCGTTTCGGACGAATATACCCGCCTATTTCGTGTTCTCGTCGCAAGTAGGTACACGATTCGACGATGAGTTTTTATTGTATTATTATGTTATGTGCTCGACGACGTCACAGATACAACGCACATTCACCGAACGGGCTCGGACGGACCGAACACAAACGCGTTCACTCCAAAACTGTCTGACGAGTGGCAACTGGCTGGCGCAACTAGTATCAGCGCGA